TACCCCGCATTGACGTGTACTTGCAGTGCAGACAGCGCACCTTTCTTACTTCAAAAAAAGGAAACAAACCATGTATTAATTACATTTCAAAGCCTGTCTGAAGTGGTTACATATAAACAGACATCGCTTGACAGAAACTGGGATGGAGTTGCATGGAACTCTTAATTCAGGGAACGGCACAATGTTCTTTTACACAGCAGTTTTTTATGTGTTTGAAGAAAGACTCTTTCCAAAGCATTTGTTATCATGACAGCTGGCTGCACCGCTCTCTCCCACGGGCCAAACGAAACTGGTTGCCCAGTTTGGCCTCTGCCAGGTCAGGGACAGCTCCTGGACATGTTGGCACGCAGGGGACTGGGCCTTGCAAAGCTGCCGTCAGCATCCCCTGGTGTTTATTCTGCACTCTCTGCTACTGGCTTGGAAGGTCTTTTTTTCTTTTCTTTTTTCCTTTCTTTTCTTTTTTCCTTTCTTTTCTTTTTTCCTTTCTTTTCTTTTTTCCTTTCTTTTCTTTTTTCCTTTCTTTTCTTTTTTCCTTTCTTTTCTTTTTTCCTTTCTTTTCTTTTTTCCTTTCTTTTCTTTTTTCCTTTCTTTTCTTTTTTCCTTTCTTTTCTTTTTTCCTTTCTTTTCTTTTTTCCTTTCTTTTCTTTTTTCCTTTCTTTTCTTTTTTCCTTTCTTTTCTTTTTTCCTTTCTTTTCTTTTTTCCTTTCTTTTCTTTTTTCCTTTCTTTTCTTTTTTCCTTTCTTTTCTTTTTTCCTTTCTTTTCTTTTTTCCTTTCTTTTCTTTTTTCCTTTCTTTTCTTTTTTCCTTTCTTTTCTTTTTTCCTTTCTTCTTTCCCTCCTCCCCCCTTCTGCCCTTCTCCCCCCTTCCTCCCTTCTCCCCCCTTTTTTACTCTTTTCCCTTTCTCTTATATTTTTTTTTTCATATTTTATATGTCTCCTGACTGCATCCAGAGTAGCAGAAAAACCTGTCTGAAGTTTTGCCACTATACTGCTGCGGGCCGCAAGCAAACCTGCCTGGTATCCACAGCTTTCAACATCAAACTCCCCAACTCCTGTAAGCAAACATTTATTTAAAAAAATAATTTTTCCCTGTGTTACAGTAACTCAGAGGTATTCCCATCCCACCACGAGGTGCCACATCTTCACAGCTCCAACCCAGCTGGAGAGGAAGCAGCAGGATGGGCTACGGCAATTTTTTTTTCTCTGCAGCCTGCAGTAATCGTTAATATTCAGCAGGTCCCTCGTGCAGAGGGTTATCAAAACAGTCCTGCTGCCAGCTCTCCTTCTTGTGCGGGGCTGTTTCCCCAGGGCCTCCTGGGAAAATACTTTTAAATGGCTTTTCAGGATTTCTCAGGCTTTCAGAGTTAATTTTCATAGTTGCAAATTTATATTACATGGTTAGAAAAAACATTGTCACTAAATCAGGCTGGATTTATAGCTCGTGTCACTATTAATTCGACAAGGATTTAAGGCACATTCGTTATATAACATGAATGAAAGGCTAATACATGTGATTTTTAAGAAAAAAATATTTGATAGGCAAAATATGATTTAGCAGGACCCAGAGGTGTGGTGACAGCTCTTTCCTGTGATGAACGGCCCTTCTGCGGGACCTCAGTACTGCAAATATTTACAGCCATGCTTGGCTGGAAGCCTGCGAATCCTTCGAGCCCCATGGAGGAGCTGGCCTTGATGGGAGGGTATTTCTTTCTGACAGCGGTGTCCTGCTAGGGTATTTTTGGGGGGGGGTGGGGGTGGGATTTTGCATCTGGCTTCACTGAAAACAGCTGGGATCAGGCCCCCCTCCCAACTGAGACACACAGAAAGCGGTCAGGGCTCAAATGCCAGCATTTGCAGAGCTTTTCAGGGAAGGTTTCTGGTTCCTTTGCCAATATGGAAATTAATTCCTATAAATCTGTCTCCTGACTAACAGAAAATACCCTGCAAACACTGACAGCTGAGGCACTATATTTAAAATGATAGATGAAGCATTTACCTTTTGCTTTTTTTTTTTTTTGCACCATTAGACAACCAGGCTGCATGGAAAGGGCATTAATAATTTTATACCAGGTGATAGTGGAGAGGTGGTGTTGCTTAACCCTCAGGATGGTGGAGAGGAATGTGGGCTAAACCCGGCCCTGGGGGTTGCAGAAAGAGCCCCTGATCCAAATCACAGTTTCCCCCAGCACCGGAGAAGGGGGTCGGCAGCATCTGCTGCAGGCAGTGGTGCCGGTGCCAGAGAGGGCTCACATTGCTCCCAAAGCCAGGTACAAACCACCAAGGGGTAGAAGCGAAGTCACCAAAAGACATCTCAAGGGGCTGGGCAGGCTGGATAGGCTGTGGTTGCTGCTGGGCTAAACCAGCCACCCCCATGCTCTTGGCACAGGGGAAAAAGGGGGACCAAGGAGTCCCCCTGGGTGGATGTGCCCTGTCACCTCCCAAGTGCCCCGTCCTGGGAGCCACTGCCTGCAAGCGGGGCAGCCTTGTAAAGGTCACCGCGGCGTGTTTCCCAGTTAAATAACTGTCGGCAATGAATAAGAAGGCCTGGAGCCAAAAAACGTGCTACCGCTTGGTTGCAAAGCTCATTTACAGGCACAGCGAGACAGGGATGCTTTGGGGTCAGCTGCAGGCCAGCTCTCCATGGTGAATAGAAACGGTCTGTATAGAGACATACAGGGATGCAGATCTACATCTGAGGATGAAATTGTGTTTACTTACCGCAGCTGGGTTTGCTGATGCTGTGGCACCTGGGTTCAAGTACAGCAGAGCCCCCCAAATGTTGGGATTTATGGTGGTGCCACCAGAGGGGGCCCTAATAATATTTAATGCACGCAGGGCTCCCCATGGCCGGGTGGCGAGAGCCCTCCCAGAAAGGAGAAACCTATGCTATCCTGGGAAAGGGGCTGATAAAGGTTGTGGAAATACTTCTAACAACACACAGGAGGAGAAAAAAAATGCAAATCTTCTGTTTGTTTTCCTTTTTGAATAAAGACAGGGAAAAGATGACTGCCATCTGCACCTTCTGCTCTCCATCTCCTTGGCTTGCTCGGCAGAGAAAAGCCCCACCAGGGAGCACGAAGCTTGAAAACAAGGTCCCTGTGGGTGCCACGTGAACCACTCTTGGTCCTTTTCCGCAGCGGATGCTCCACCAGTGAGTGCCCAAGTCCAGCCTGGGGCACTGAGCCGCTGCTGTGATCCCTCCAGATGCTGAGGGAGCCACGAAGCATTCAGGCTTGGATGAACTGCTGGCTTTGGCAGTCCCACCCTGGTAGGCTCTTTGATTTTTCTGCCTTTGATATTGGTATCAGTGCTCCCCGCCCTGCTCTGCGATAGCGCAACGCAGCCTCTCCCGGGGCTGCAGCGCAATTGCTTGCTGCACGCCTGTGTGTGGCCTCATATCTGTACGCGTGTACGCCTGTGTGCCCAGACACAGGACACGTACAGGTCCCAGCCCAAACCCCATCCGTGGAGGCTTTGGCACCTGCTTCTGCTCCCCCATTGCCCATGATGTGGCAGGGAAGCAGTGGGAGCTTTGGAGGGTGTTCAGGCTTGAATTGCTCATGTTCGTGTATATTTGTGCACAGTTAAACTTTCAGGAAAGCAAAGTGAATGTGGATGTAAACCCAAATAAGAGGGACTGGGCTGCACATGGGTGTTGCTGTGCCACAGGGCTTCAGAGCGGGGGACACTTGCCCTGATGCAGAGAGGGGAGAGTCCTCGGTCCTGCTGACCCCTGTCCTTCTGTGCAGTTGGTTAAACAGCACATCCCAGCGTGTTGGTCTCACTGATGGTGGTTTATATCACATTTGTTAATGTTCCCTAGGGCTGCGTGTTCAGTGGTAGTGTGTGCTGTGTTGGTCTGTGCTCAGGGCTATACAGACCCGAATGGGCAAGCCAGGGAGGTCCCTGTGGGGTTTTGTACCAGCTCTCCTGTGTCCTCATTGCTGCTGGTACCTAACAGGAGGCAAAAGGAGGTACGTAGGGACTTACCCAGGGCCAAAGGGTCTCTCACCCTATGCCACAGGCAGAGGCGTCGGGGTCCTTGGGGGTTAGCGGGGAGCAGTGTCAAGGCCAGGAAGGGGGGACAAGCCCTGTCTCTCTGCTTCGAGTCCCACAAGAAGTGCATCCCAGCTCTCCATGATGAGCATCATTTTGCATTCAGATGTCTCTGCTGGCCGAATGCCCAGCCCCCCTGCAGCAGCATCTCCAGACCAGCTCCGGCCATGCCGCTTACCTTCAGATGCTGGCTAAAGGATTACATTCGATGGCACAAATAAGGACAAAGCTTTTTCAGGAAAACTTAGTCATATTTACGTATTTTTCATGATTGAATGTATCCATTATTGCTTTCCCAGAGTGTGATTTATTCCTTTGTGCATTGCTTCTTTCTGAAAGCCAAAAGACCATGGGGACTAAGACATGAGGCAGAGACTTAGACTGATTTCAGCCTTTGGATGGATCATCACTGCTGTCACCCAGACAGTGGCATTTCTATAAAAATCCCAATGTAAATATTTGTTCTAAATCAGGCTCTCCTTCTGCCTTGGCTGGAGTATAACCGAGGGAGCTTATGAAATGCTCTGTCGTTTCAAGATTAATTGCTATTGAAAGTTGGGGTGGGTTGTTGTCTGCCCTGCATGCCTCCCCCTTGGGATAATCTCCTCTCAGTTTGATTTCTTTCCTCAAATTCTTTCTCCCAGACAGCGAGTTTCGCAAAGGCTGAACTGTTTTCCTCCCCTAAAAGTGTATCTTGTTTGCTAGCCCACCGTGCCCCGGCAGCAGACAACCCAGCAGGCGTTGATGAAGGGAGATGAATATTTGCCTCTACTAACAGTTGGATTATTCCCACTTTTCGGATGCCATCTGTGTGACAGGGTTTGGTTTGCACTAAATACAGCCTGTAGGCTGAGCTGAGAAAACAGATTGCTGCACCACTATGTTAAATAATCATCATCCAAGTCTGGCTCACTGGAGAACTTTAGGCTGCCGTGGTGGTTTTTTGGAGGGGGGAGATGCAGCTCACTTTCATGCCAGGATGCTGAAATCAGGTTTTAATTTAAGTTTTGCTCATGCTCCCTGTTGGCAGCGCTGCCACCTGGGATCCACAGGCGCTCTCACCTGCAATTTGCAGGCAGGCTGGTGGCAGCGGGCAGGAGCAGGAGCCACCCGTCCTCTGTTCCTGCCGCTCCCTGCTGGGTTAGTGCAGAAAAGGGGCTCTTGCTGCCTGTCCCTCTGTCTTTTCTGTCTGTCTTTCCCCAAGCGCTCGATGCTGTAAGCAGTTTCAAACCCACACTGAGCAAATACTCTAAGTTCAGCAACATTTTCAATTGCAAATCACCAGGCAGAGACCTGTGTCCCACCGGCTGCAGCTCTGAAGCACCCACATGTGGGCACGGAGTGCAGAAAGGTCCTTTTAATCCCTCTGCCCCTGCAGAGGAATGGCAGAGCTCTGGAGCCTGCACGAACGCATGGAGATCCCTGCCCTTCAGCCCTTACAGTATTTCATCCTTGCAATGCCTTTTACATATGGGATCAGTACGTAAGTCTAGTGTGCTGCTTCTAGCCCATTTATTTTCGCATACAATACGGAAAATAGCCTGAAGTTTCAGCTTACCTTCTTACACAAAATATTTGAAGTTTAACAAAATATTTGGTTGGGTTTTTTTTCCCACTAAATATTGCACTTGCTGTGGGTGTATCTACACTAGTCTTCTATAAGATCTGTTGGCATCTGTGTATTTCCATGCCACGTGAGAGGACTTAGCACACTCATGAGCTGGAGCGGTGGCTCTTTCTTGGTCTCCTCTTCTTCGAAAACTGCGATTTCAGCCAGTTGAAGAAGCCGCCTCTTGCTTTTAACTCAAACTCTACAGGGAAGTGGTCGCTCACCCCCAGCGCCTGCAAGACAACGGCACAGAGGTGTTGGGAGCCAGCCACCCGTGCTCTCTCTTTCCAAACCCTGCCCCAGGGAGTTTCATCATGGTGGCAGGGAGGTGGATGTGCAGTGGTGGATGTGGGGAGGTGCAACACAAGCATTGCATCGCTTTGGGAGGATTCAAGGGTTTTATAGACAAGACCGTGTTCAAAACTGCCTGAATACTGTTGGTTTTGCACTCCTGTGTTAGCCCTTGCCCTGCTGCTGCAGAGCCCATGCTGTGCCTACCTGCTCCTCCGTCATCTGAAAGTACTTCTGGAAATCAAAGATGTTGGCAGAGTGTGGCACCACGGCGTGGACAAGCTTCTGTCCGCTGACCACAATCCTGCAAGGAGCAAGGGAATGGGGGTGCTGTTACGAGGCGCTCGCCCAGCGGCAGCTGTGCTGCA